AAAAAAAAAAAAAAAAAAAAAAAAAAAAAAAAAAAAACCAGGAAAACAAACTTCCCACCCGAACCACACCTGGATCCGCGTCAGCGCTAACACGGGCGTTTCCCTTTTTCCTTATTACTTTGTCTTAGGAGTCATAAGTATCTATGTCAAGGCAGGGAATTTAAAATGTTTTTCTAAAGATTAGTGAAAATGGCGTAGAATCAAAAATGCAAAATGAATAGGGAAGCCGCTTCCGACAACGATACTTCGAATTCTAATTTCCAGTTTTAGCACAATTAGTAGCAAGGCCAGGCCATGGATTGACTCCTTTGGTAACCATTTTTTAGAAAATCCCAATATTAAAACATCTAGTTAGGTTCTTTTAAATTGTCGTAATTATTCATAGTTAGGAGTCAGTTAAATTATTGTAATTATATATTTTTTATTCATTGTTTATTTATTTTTAAGTGCTCCTATTATCTTTCTTTTCAGTTGCTGTTTAGGTATTTATTTTTCATCTTTACAATTTGTCGTTCTCGTGCTCGAAAACCCTTCAGATAGCTCAGAAAATTTGATTAAAGTGTAAATAAAAGTGAAGACATAAGGGGGTTGACTAAAGCTATCGTTGTTGTTCGGACAATCAAATGAGATTTATTACCAAAGGGGATAAATAATTTTATGCGACCTGCCCCGTGATTAGTTTCCCGGATGGTGTCACAACCGGGACTGGAATAGATTTAGATTTAAGCATTTGAGCATCGGGTTGCAGGCCTCTTTCCTAGACGCTTCGGTGCAGGGCAAGCTTTTTCCCCACCCCCTTCATCCCTCCCATTTTTGGAGCATGATTGGTGGTACATTATAAGAGACGTAGTGTCACGTAGGGCGTGTTTGCCCTCACCTTTGCTGGGAAAAGGTACTCATTTCCAGTTCTGTTGTAATTTGAGATGATCTTACAATAAACGGCCACTTAACCGAGTGGCCAGATTATGGCAAAGATTTGTGTCAGTTTAGTTCTCTTCCCAGCAAACCGAGCTTAGCCTTAGCAATGCACGTTGTGGAATACAATCCATAGTGACGGAGCAGGGGGCATAAATAAAATATTCAGTTTTAGTTTCTATGGGACGATAGTAAACGTGTGTCTGTAATAGTTATTTACACATTCAAAATCCCCCTGTGTATGTGCCCCTACACATAAAATTCTCATCAGGTCTTTGGAAAAGAGATAATCAGAAGTGTTTGATACTAACTGGGAACTAATTTCTATCTGAATATGTATAACTCGTTACCATAATTGCAATCCGAAAAAGATGGCGACAAGTAGATTTACCCATAATTCTAAGCGCACGAATGCCCGAACAACGCTCATAAAAACGTAGCTTGTGTACATCCACCCCTCCCATAAAAGAAAAAAATAATTTTTTTCAGGGAAGGAGACGGATGTCACAGACTTATAAAAATGGACAGAAAAGTTCTAACTTCAAACTTAGCATTTATGATATTTTTAATAAATGAGTATATTAATTTAAGATGTACAGCGCTATGTTTTCCGTATACGGTGGATCGTAATTTCTTCAACTCATTAATAATTCATCAAATTTCAACGAAGGAAGTCATGACCGTGAAGTTGCTTGGATATCTGATCTTAATAAGCGTGGCAAGATTTTTACGATTTTATTTCTCCTTTTTCTCTTTAGCTTTAGTTTCTATTCAGACGACATATGAAACACTCAAGACCATGTTTGACCCCATTTCAAACACCTCGAAGTTCGTCACAAAATACTCCTGTCTTTTCGGTGTTTGCAAAACAGTCTCTTTGGAATGCAAAGAAATGCAAAAAAAAAACAAAAGGCTGGTTGATTCCAGCACAGCTGAAAAAAAACATTAATTCCGGTTGAATTGACCTGTGACAACTCATAACATTGACGAATCGTCATAGTTAACCTTTGTCCTGGATGTGAATCTGCCCGCAATGGTTGATTACGTCCATTATATTCGCTGGTGACATTAGCATTACTACACGGTCTTCAGAATTAGACGAAGACAAATATTTTAAGATGATAGGTTATTTAAGGAAACAAGTGGCATGTCAAATTTTAGACATTCATTTCATTCTGGACACCAATAGCTTCTATGTGATAAGCCGAACAACTGATACCGGCGAACCATTTAGTTGAAAACAGTTTATGTCACAGCCGCCCTACAGGCGAGAAAAAATCGCGGGGGGCAGCTTAGAAATTTATTTTGTACAATTTAAAAAGATCATTATCACTAGAAAGCTCTAGAAAACTCGCGACCTCCAATTAATTTTGTTCTTACATTGTAGTGTTCACATCATGTTCACAAATAAAACCCACTTCCAAAGAAAACAAGTTTCTACTTCTTAGAGGGTGAGAATTCTTAGACGGTCCGAGATCGCTTGAGAGCGAGTGACCTCGGACCGTCTGGGAGGGGCTGCAAACAAATTTGAATTTTGTCTGAAGTCTGCCTGACTATACGAATTTGACATTACAAAAGTGTGTATGCATAACCTATTATAAGCAGGTAATGTTTTTTTTTTTTTCCCGCGAACGGCTTCTACCCAGCCATATTTACAGACAAAAGTATCAGGAAAATTAGACAAATAAGCTGAGCGTCATCTAGCCAAGCTACATCATTCAAAGTCCGTGTATACAATCTTCTACAGTTCTACCTAGTATTTGAACGTTGCGATTCTCAAATTGTGTAATTTTCAATTTTGGAAAAAGTTATTTGCGATCGGGTTCCCATACAAACACTGTAATTTCTGACCGCTTTGCGGGCGTACCTGTCAAGATGGCGTCGAAAACTGTGATAAAAATATGTTTTGCCTTGTCGAATAAGTCATGCAGATGATAGCATGACAAACAAATGATAGCATTACCAAAAAATGAAACAGTCCTTGTTCCTTCTTGTTTTATTTTTACTGTAGCCTGCAATGCTTCAGGCGCGTGAGGGCAGATTTTCGTATTAGGCCGCCATCTTGGATTTGCTGACATTGACCTGGTTTCAGGGGTTCTTCGAGCGTTGCATTCCAATACAGCGCCTGCACTGGATGCATTTATAATCTGTTCACGGTGTTTGTATTTTATGGCCCTACTACCGAATTTACTTTCGTTCGGAATACTTTTTCTATGTACGTCACAAATGATCTGGTGTATATATACCGTGACGGAACAGTTCCTTCAACTTTTTTCGTCACGCCATCCTCCTTTGCTCAGCCTGATGACCCCAATACATCGGCGACTATTACAAAATTGACGAAAATATAAGCGTCTACAAGCATCTGAAAAGTGAGCATTGTCTTTATCAAGGTCTAACGGTTTTGTAGCCTCTTAAGGGCTCGTAACGCAGTTTTCCTGTGACCAGCCCAAAAAGTGTTTGCGTAGGAGGCTAACGGTTTTGATGCGGCATTTGATTAATCCCGCACATCACGCCCCACCCGTCATGATCCGAAGTGAAAGACCGGAAGAGACATCTTCAGTTGAAGAACTGATAAGAAGAAGCCATAATTGTGAAATAGTTTGATATAGCTAGGAGAATAGTTGTACCTCCTTTTGGTTTGAAAGCGTTAACATTCTTAACTTCACTAGATTATAATTTAGACAACTTAAGAATTTTTTCCTTCCAAAGGAAAAAAAAAGGAAAGAGAAATACTATTATTTCGTTTTTACCGCCTCCCACGTCCATGAACATGAAAAAATGAGTGACGTCGCCGTCAGGTGGAGGAAAACGTGTTTACCACATGAACCGGAAATGAATCTTCCCACCCTCAGTCAAAATAATCTGTGACTAATTCGAAGACTTTGCGTATGTTTCCGCTATTTGCATATGGGGGCCTTAAATATGAAATATCTGTATCTCATAAATTTTTCCAGACACTTGAGAAATTAAGCTATTATTGCACTGACAATTATTTACATTGATCAGCACACATAAACTCACTTCCGGGCGCAAAAGTGCCATATTTGGTAGGAGTATAATTGCCTGAGATTTCGACCAATCACAGCCGGAATTAGACTGGATCCTTTGAAGCCATGTTGGTGTTCGCGCCGAGTGGATATTTTGGACACATTTCGTTGTAGTGTTTTAGTTTTGAATTTCCCTTTAGTTCGTCTGCTCTTCAGTTATCAAGGTCTTGTCTGAGGGGAAGCTTTCTCTGTCAAATTTTCGCGTGCCTTTTGAGGACACAGCTCACGAAAGATGTCTCGCCGTTACGACATGGGCGAACAAGACAGTTCGAGCCGTGGAAGGGCAAATCGTCGCAAAGTCACTGTCAAAGTTTGCATGCTCGATGATTCTGTGGTAAAATTCGAGTTAGAGGTAAGGGCATTTGTTTCTAACGCGATGATAGTTTTTCTAGGGCCAGAAAAATAATTACCCAGTATTGCCGCTTTGTGTTTACTATTGGCCATCTATATGCTTGTTCTGTAATTTTCTTTTTCCTTCACGCCGTGCAATAAAAAAATACGGCAGCTGCCTTTGAGTAAAGCGAGTTTCTTGCCATCCCTGGTTTTCTGCCTAAAGGAAAATGGCGTGTTCTTGGTTTTACTAACTTGTTGACGCGTTTATTTGGCTGTGGGGATTTTTTCCTATTTCTGTTGAAGTTGAAAAATATGCCAATTGGTATTATCAATGAAGCGTTCGAGTTATTTTGATATAGCGTTCTCGAAATATTTTTGTGAAACTATTAAATATTTCGGTTTTCCACGTGCCCTTCCTTTATAACTTGCAGTCTTTTTCAGCGCTGGTGGTTTTAGAATTTTTGTTGTGACCTGAAGAAGAATGCTGACTTTTAGATTTTTCTTTGGAAATATATGTAATTTTTGTAATGTTTTGTCGATCTACCCTCGCACATTTTGTCTTAGTTTGGTTAGGGAATCCTCAGGCAATTGTTACAATGTAAAATCCAGCATTTTCTTCTGTAAACAAAACACCATCGGGCAGCGTTGATATTTTCCTAAAAGACTTAATTGTGTCGAAAACTGAAATATCGCCAGTGACATCAGCATTCTTCACCTATTCAAAATAAACTTTGCCGACCGTGGTTTGTCGCTTTATCTGATCGTTATTCGAATTCTTCAACATTTACTTTGCAAAATTTCAAATCTGAATTTTTTACTCGCAGTGTTGGCTTTCTCCGTCCGACCACCTCTACGAAAGCGACGTAAACATTGTTTGAAATACAATTCTTAACAGATTATCTAGCGGTTTCGTGCTCGCTATTCGAACAATTTTTAGTAAATCACTTCCGAAAGCAATGGCTAGAGAAATATGCTGTATGGAGAATTGACAAGTATTTGAACTGAGATACGGTGGCAGAATTTCAATTGCATTTGGATAAATAGAAGTGAATTGCTTTTAGGAGTTTGTATTTTGCCATGTTGATGTACATCTAATATTACGAGCTCAATTCTTTTGTCACTTAAAGTATCATTCACGATAGGAGCAATTTAGAATTTGCGTTGATGTAATTTGCGGGTAAATTGTCAGATGATTCGGTAGTTTTCTTGTTTTCTTTTTGCCGTGATAATGACGCCAATGGTTGATTATATTTATATGTATCTTATTTTTCTCGTTAACCATTGAACGATTGATTTTTTGGGCCGCATCAATTTTATTTTAAACGCTTGATCGGCAAGTCATGTCACGAGTGTTTTGTTGTGATAAAATGCCACATTATTAATACTTGTCAAAGTTTCTTTTGGCGTGTTCTTCACAGCCAGAATGTAAGGATCAGTTTTAGATTTGAACATTCACAAATTCCCTCCTCTCCTATGTGACAATATCCAGCATTTAGATTCTTCTGTAGGAAAATATTAATTTCTAAGTCCTTCTAAAGGCGTCTAAATACCTCCTAATCATTAAATCCCGAGACATTTTATACAAGGTATACAGGACATCAGGTTGCTGCCTAGAATGTTACAAATTCCATGATTGTAAATCATATTTTTCATTTTCTGAAGTTTGATGGGGTACTAAGCATGTAGCATAGCTCATTGCCAAAGTGTTGTCCACACATACCCCCTGCTGAATATATGCCGAAATTTTTAAGGGTTAAAGAAATACTCTGCTATAACCTACACAAATTGCACTCTGGGATCTGTGCTTAATTACTCTGTGTTTCTGACAAGGGCGATAATCACCTGTGCACGCAAACATCGGTGGCGTGTAGTGGCCTCATAGTTAGTGCGCTTGTCTCCAGATCGAGCAGTCCGAGGTGGAACCCTGGCCGGGGACATCTTGGGCAAGACACTTTACTTGCACAGTGCCTAAAGCTCTTCACCCAGGTGTAGAAATGAGTACCGACGAACTTAATGCTGGTAGTAGAAATAATCCTAGTCACCTTATGCTACAGAAACTGGGATAAGCTCTGGCCTGATTTGCCACTTAGCTTGTATACAGACTTTACCTTTGTAAATATCTTACTTGGTATACTTCTCTTAGTAACACACCCTTAATTGCTGAAGACTTTAACTTGATGTTCAAGCCAGTGTCAAAGTTCACTTCACTTTGTAACATTCAGTGCAAATTCATAGTCTGTAGTTTTTGTTGTGTCACGTGATGACAGTATTTGCAGTCCAAGAAATGAATGGTGTGACCTACACTGTACATGTATGTAGTGGGGTGGAGGTGGCATGGCCTGGTGGTTAGGGTACTGGATTTGTAATGGTCCCAGTTTCAACTCCTCCACGCTTGTAAATAGCGAACTGGTTAGCCTCCTGCCAGCTTGGATTTTTAACAAATTTCTGTTTAATTTACAATATTTGTTTGCTTATTCCAGTGTCCGCAATTAGTACAGCAGTGCTAAACACTTTGACACTTAAATAAAGTATTTACTATTATTTTATTTCATTTTAAACACCTTGCAATGGTTATGCCTAACGCACAAATTAGAAAAATTTCCCTTTTTGCAGTGATTGTGGCAATTCTGCGCAAGAAGATGGGCAAAAATCTCAGCTGGTTCACTTCAATGAATTTTTTTGTGAGGGGGGGTGGGNGGGGGGGGGGAAGGTGACTGGTGGACAGGGGTATATCTGTAAATTTGTAAAAAGAAAAAGTTGTGATCTGTACTTTACAGTCAGACCTCCCACAAATGGACACTGTTGGGGTTTGAAAATGTGTCAACCTAGCAGAGATGTTTGCTTATGCATTTACCTGGGACCATGGCTGTCTGCCCTCAGGAGGTGTCAGCCAACAGAAGGTGGTCTGATTGTATTAGCAGGGTTTGACTGTAAGAGGCCATTGTTGGTGCAGGTTCATATTGTGCACAATATAAGTACATGTACATATAATTTTACTCACGGGAGGGGGGGGGGTATATGGGGTGGACAGGCTCATGCTCCTCTTTCTCAGAGGCTGCTCTTCTTTTGAGGTTGCATGTATATTAACCTTCTTTTTTTATTATTATTTCTTTGAAGCCCAAAAGCAGAGGAAAGGCACTATATGACAACGTATACGAACAACTAAACTTGGAAGAGCGTGAATACTTTGGGTTAAATTTTTATGACAAAAGTGATAACTTGGTAAGTATGTGCATCTATAGGTTCATCTACATCTAGTTAGAAATTTGCTACTACAGTACATGTTTACTTGTGTATTTGTAGCCAGATATCATAGTAATTTTGTTAAGAAACAACCATTTAAGTGCAAATGTTTTGCATGTGTCGCTTTTTTAACATGATTTATTGAGTGTAGAAATTGCAGTTACTAGACTGCCAACAAAACAAGAAAAGGATTTCATCGGATGCAGCGTGGCCGAGTGGTTTAGGGCACTGGTGTTGTAATCCAGAGGTCCTGGTTCAAGGCCTCCACCCTGCCACTGGCGGAATTTGTTTCTCGGTAGTCCCGAGTTCAAAGACTCGGTCATGCTTTATAAATAGCCAACTGGTCTGCCTCCTGCCAGGTTGGGATTTTTAACTATGCTGGTTTGAAATATTTGTTCCCTTTCTTTCAGTGGCATGCCTGTAAACTAGCCAAGCTTAGTGCTTGTATAGCTAAGTGCATGACCACTATAAATAAGATTTACATTCTACATTACATTTACATTTACATTTTACATCCCTGAGTATAAGTAGGGCTCGACTTTCAGGAAAAAACCTTGGGGCCAGCTGGCCCCTAAGTTTGCAGATTTAGTCACTGGCAAAGTATTTCAATCAGTGAAAAGCAGGGAAAGTTAGTCAACAGTAAAAAAAAAAAAATTGGTTGCATTGGCGATCTGAGCGGTCGCAACATCAAGCTCTGATAAGAACTTGTCAAGGCTAACGTGTGATTAGATCTACAACTTATTTCTCAATACAGAAATTAGCTTTAATTTGGGGGAGGGGGAAGCAATGCAAGCACTATTCTTCCACTAGTGTGCCCAGGTTTGAGTTTCAGACCTTGTGTCCTGTGTGTACAGTACCTGTACTTTGTATATTGGCTGAGTTTGGCATTGATTTTTGTTCTTGTTTCTCGCAGGGGCGGGGGAAGGAAGGAAATTCCTCTGACTAGTTTTTATCACTCCACAAAAACCGTCACTTTTAAAATGCCAGTTTCATCTGAGAACAGTGGAATAGTAGGGCTACCTTGTAGATTGCTATTGTATATCCCAGTTACTCTATGTATTTACTATAATTATCTTTATTTTTTACATGCACATTATGAGGCAGGCTTGTACATGTTTAAATGCAACTAGCAACTTGTTAGAGAGATCTTGTCTTGATCTAATGTTCATCGGATTCTCAGAACCAATACGAGCATGAACTGTATGACATTGGGTAATGAGAATTAAGATTTTGAGAATGAGGCTGAAACGGTTGAATTAGCAGTAGCAGCATGGCAAACAGTTTTTTGACTGGGCAGCCACAACGATCTGGGCTTCATTTATGTCTTCAGTTGAATATTTGGAAAAAAATTAGACAATTCTGCTTGGATGTGCTGGCAGCTGGTTTGATTATGCTTGTCTGTCAGTAAACAAGTTGCAATGTAAACACTATGCTTGTCAGAATAAATTGTCTTTTACAAAACATCAAGGCAAAATTACATGTATTTTTTCTCCCCCAAATTTGAATTTGATGGATGGAAACATCTGTCCATACTTAGTGCTAACAAATTATGGATACAAACCACTGGCAACAAATCAGCGATATTGCAATCTTCAAGGAGAGTGAAATGAAATTTACTTAATGGTGGTTTCTTGTCAAATGACTTTTGAAAACAAATTCGAAGGCTGTCACTTTGGTGCTACATGACTAGGAATAATTTATTGTGCCTTTGAAGACTATGGAAACAAGTTGACCAAAATGGGCGGAAATCACTTCAACGAGCCCAACCTGTCATCCTAATTGTAAGAGTTAATTGTATAAAGCAGGCTAACCTGAACGGTGTTTAGGGTGGGTAGAGTTTCCACCTACAGAAGAGGGGCTAAGCCCGAAACGTTTAGATTACCGGCGAATAATTGACACTTTTAAGAGCCTTTTCAGCCTTATATCAATTTTTTCGGCAGTGTCCTGCATCTTATGAGTTTTTTGTTCATTCCTACTGAGTAGAGTTCTTTTCAGGCGAACTGCAAATCCGTAGCCTCTTTGGTAGTGTTTGGAAAGAGCTGTCCAATTATGTACATGTCAAGTGCACAGTCTTTTTGCAGAATGGAGCAGAAGTAAATTGCAAAGCCAAACACACTGTCAGGAGCATTTTTGATATGTGATATAGTAGAAACACACACAAAAAAAGGTTTTTATGCTTTGAAACCAATGTTTTGCATCTGAAAGCCATTTTTGTACATACATTTACATACATATATGTATTCATGAATGTGTTTTGACATCATAATTGATGACAAAAATGTTTTCTCTTTTAATTACATTCTATTAATTTGTAGCAATATCTTGGCTGCCAGGTTGGCTGCCGTTCCTGCCCATGTTTTGAATACTGATCATATTAAATTTTCTTCAAGATGCTTTTATTTCTTTTAATAACTTGTAGACCTGTTGACTTCGTCTGTGAGTCTTGTATTCTACACATCCTGGCACGAGTATTATTATTCTGATTTCACAGACATTTGAAAAACAACATTGACAATAATAATTATTATGTATTTGTACATGTATTTTTAATTTTGAGGGTTCTGTTATTTGGCAGTAGTTTTGTGTTGTTCAGATCTAATATTCACATGCATGTAGTTGTTTTTGTTTTGTTTGGCTGTTGGAATTTTTAAAAATTATAACTTAAAGTTTGATGATTAGTAAAATAATATTATTTTGTAGAAATTTAATGGCTGTACAAAAGAAACGTGTGTAGTTACATTTATTAAATGCAAAATAAATTCCACCACAGTGTTACTGGTTGAACACAGCAGATTGTTGTTCTGTAGTTGATGTATGACATGTGTATGACATGTGTATGTATGTATCTATATATTATCATATTTCAAAGAAATGTTTGTTGAACTAGACAGTATAACTTAAGGCTGTGGTCTAAGAACTATTAGAAGGAGCCCAAAGGTTCATAGCCATGAAATCTTGGGTGCTCAGCACTTACTGTAAGCTTAATAATATGAGAAATAGTAAGTTTTTCAAGTCGCCCAGAGGCAAAAGTTAATCACCTGTGGCATCTGGGAGCTTCCAGAGAATTTCATGTACAGAAATTGTTTGTCATGTTTTTTTTTTTTGTGGAGGAGGGGGGCGGGGGTGGCAGTGAGTACTATTGACAGCCTCATTCCAAAGTTCAAAGAACAAGGAAGACCATTATTTAGAACTTAATGCTAAATTATTTTCATAAGGGCTTAGCAAAATTGATCAATACACAGGGTACAGCTGAGAAAACAAAGGTCTTGACATCAAATGTTACATGTAAAAGTTACAAGAAGTATAAAATGCTGACTACGAGAGAAGCACAAATTAGGATGGGGTTTTATCTTTGGATCATTCTTTTTTCACTTTTCAGTTTGTACATGTTTATGTGTATCTTGAAAGATCTCAAGAGTACAGTAGCTGGCGTACTCAGGACCACTAACACATACCTGTAGCTTTAGATGGTGATTTTGCCTGGTCACTAGTTATATAGTATCCTGTTTGTAGGTGTTTTTATTAAACATTTAGCTTTTAATTTTTTTTTTTCAGTTTTGGCTTGATGATATAAAGCCCATAAACAAACAAGTCCAAGGTGAGGGTACATGTACATACAGATGGCTTTCACTGCTACAAAAGAGTGATATCGATCCTTAACTTTCAATTAGTTTTGAGTTCTTCATAATTAATTTTGGTGATATTATGTTACGATTGGCATTAAGTTCTTTATAAAATAAATAACAGAGTATGTTGTCGAAAACGTTGACAAATTTATAACTTTAAATTATGTTCATTTTTAGATCTGCGTTCAACAATATTTAGATTTTGTGTGAAGTTTTATCCACCTGATCCAGCACTTCTCCAGGAAGAGTATACTAGGTATTGTATATATGTTTTATTATATGGCTAGCTCCGTGAGTGGGCAAGATGAATCAAATCCTGCACTGTGATTGGCTACCTGGTTGGGCAAGATGGTGCCGTCTTGCTGCTGTGGATTGCACGTTGTGCTCAGCAAGAAAAATTTATTGAAGCCATAAAATAAAATCCTTTATTGACCAAGCTTGTTCAGTCAAGACGGCTGGATATTGGCCTCAGTCGTTTTTGCATGTTTATGGACCTCCACTCTGTCTTGTCTTGGCCAATATCCAGCCATCTTGACCTCATGCTTGCTCAATAGCTCAGATATCTTGCTTCATTGTATACCAAACTTACATACCTTTGCCTCATTGATTTGTTTATTTTTCTTTGTCACATTGAGTAAAGTTAAATACATACTTGTATCGTTTGATTAAACACATTGCAGTGGAATCTCAACCTCTGGAACCTCCAAGGGAAATTAAAGTTGGTTTGAAAATTAGTCCCTACACTGTATTTTTGAGGAAAAAATTTCCAGTATCTAGAGGAAGGGGGTGTGCAATGGAAGTTGTGTCCAATATAGCCTAAGGTAGAGGATTTTGCAGTTGGGGCTGGTGGATTCTGTCGTCACTTGCCTTTGGGCAAGTGGAGTTGCTTGGAAAATTTTTGATGGAGGAAATTCAAATTACGGAAGTACTGTAAGTACTGATGAATGTTTTAGGGGCTAGTGAGAATGATTATTTTGTGGGCTAGTAAATCATAAGTAGAACTTGGGCAAGCTCAAAACCTTGTCAAGTTTTCTTTGCAGCCCAAGAGGGTGAATGATGTGCAGTTCATCCATTGAGCAACTGGGGCCTACACTGCTACTTGTTTTGGAATAATCAGATTTTTTTATGAATGAGTACATCTTGGGTAGCAGTTCTTCAATTTACACTGTACCTTAAGATGTACATATACATATATGTCTGCATCTTTTGGTTGCAGGTATTTGTTTGGTCTACAGATAAAAAGAGATCTTCTCAGTGGAAGGTAATAAAAGTTTCTTTACTAGGATCCATTGTCTGTTTTATTGTTTATCTGTGTCAAAATACCGTGGGCTTCAAAATAGGCCTTATTTGTATGTGATTACATAGTATGCTACACTGTACATGTAGTACTTCTGAGAACTTTATTACAAATGTTTCATTACAAGGTCTGGTGCAAAATCCTGTTTTTGAAAATAAGTTTATTTCCATTAAAATGAAACAAAATGGTTGTTGTACGATGTGTTTTTCAAGAAAACTCGCAACTGGTCTGCAGAATTAATACTTTAAGCATAGCATGAAATTAAAGTCCTATAAATGTGCTTTGCAACAAGAGTTTATTGATAACATAACACTTACTGTTAATTGCTTTCAGTCTGTACCTTCTTGTTGATCAGCCCAGTCAAACATTGTCAACAGAACTATTTCACATATTACTAAATTATGTGCATGGGTATAAAATTTACAATGCACATGTACATTTATCTGTGAAAAATGTCATCAGTTTTCTGTACATCTGTCATTGCACCATTTTTGTTTTGCCACTCCAGATTAAAATGTTCAGAAAATACAGCAGCTCTCTTGGCATCCTATATAGTTCAAGGTAAGCTGGTTTTCTCTGGCCTTTACATGTAGCTTAAAGACCCATTCTTGAGTTGTGCATGTAAAAAGGAAACTCTGAATAGATGTGTTAGATTGAGCTACATTTTTGTACCTTAGCAACAACAAGAAACCTAAAATTAAGCAATGGGGTCGAAGCAGCGCGTTTGTACCAGGTTAGACACCTGTACACTTGAACGTGTTGTTGGAGGCGCGGTGGCCTCATGGTTAGTGTGCTCAACTCCGGAGCGAGCAGTCCAGGTT